GGCCTTTCCGCCCTCGGCAGCAGGACACCGGCACGATGGGCTTCTGCAGGGCCAGCAAGGTTACGCGAAACGGGGAAATCTGCGTTTCACCGCTGCTTTTCGTTTCCTCAGCTGACCGAGGCTGACAAGGAATGCCTCCTGCCCCAGCCGTGGGCGTTAGGACGAAGCGCAGCGGAGCCACGTTACCCCGGGCACTGGCGAGAAGCTGCTCTGACACCAGGCAAAGCGTCATCGTCAAAGCAGCCCTGGGCCTGGCCTGTCAGCGCTACCCGCAGTTTTCGTGCTTTTCATTAAAATGCCTATTAAACCCAATTTAGCGCTGGCAAGCTCTGGGGAACGTCACGCAAAGATGAAGGACATGAGATTTTAAAGAGGCGTCAGCCCAGCATTAAAGATAGGAGAGTATTTCTGCAGCTGGTTTTCCGAAGGCCTGTTAGCACCTCCCCTGGGAACCTAACGGCAGAGGAGGAGGGAGGAAGGGCGCAGAGCCGAGGCTGACGTTGTGCGGGCTGCCGTACCTCACGGGCACTGCATCCTGACCAGTTAGGGAAGCAAATTAAGGTAAAGGCCTTTTGTCCATCGGTACGCTCGAGGGTGTGCGGCAGTGCACGTAATTATTATTATATTACTTGTCCTCCATCACATGGGCCAGACCACGTGAAAAGAGATGGGGATCTGGACATGAGTTGCGCATGGGTGACAAGAGCCTGTTCGCTGCCGGTCCCCGAGTGCTGGACCCTGTAATTGCACAAAAGCCTCGTAATTGCACAAAAGCCTCGTTACTTGAGAGCTCGCTATCCCACACCGCCCGAGGGCGTGAAGTGTTTGACTTCCCTGTTGATCCTGAGAGCTCAGGGATTAAAGGAGCACAGGGTTTGAGAGGAGGTCGACTGACTTATCAGTAGCCTCTCTGTTACGGTGAGTAACTGGCCCCGGACACGCAGCAGGCTCTGAGGCAGCGCTGCCGTGTTACTGAAGAAAATGATTAAAAAAGACTTTTGTTATATCGCTGAAGATTGTTGAGTACTGTACCCAGGACCAGTAAAAAGATAGGAAGCTGTGTGGAAGTCGGAGTGCTAAGTGGGCAGGTAAGCAAGAGGTGTGTGTTTCTACTGCTCAAGATTGTTTTTACTCACTCCTTAGTGTTGTAACAGCGTGGCTGATAAATCCAGAGCTTTTCAGGTTAAGGTAGGTGGTATCAGCCTGCGATAGCTGAGTGTTTCCAAATCAAATGAGATCATCGCAGCTTCTGAGCAGGGAATTCTGCCATTCCACCTCCCAGTCTTCCATGGATCCATGTTTACAAGAGCGCGTGGGCTGGAAGCAAGAGATTTGGTATTTACAGGTTGTATGAGGATGAAGAGGTAATTCTAGGAGAATCCCCTGACAAGCTCCGTAAGCCCCCCCGGAGGGCAGAGGGGTAATCAGGCTTGAGCCAGAGCCGAAGAAAGCTTGCCGCAATAAATGAGTCCACCAATAAAGGACTGCAGCTCCGACTTCTGTACTCGCACGCAGGCAGAAACCATCTCCCCCCTAACAGACAGCACACAAATCACAATAGGTTGCCTGGCCTTAAATAGGTAGGGGTGTGTGTCTGTAACATGACAACACCTGTCAGTGAACACTGGAATTACACAGACATTTAGATTGGAGCTGTGAACGTAAGCACTATTGGCACAGTACGTTTTACCACCGCGAAGCCGCGCCGGGAGCTTTCAGAGCAAGCACCGTGGAAGGCGTGAGCCTCTTTACAGAAAGCTCTTTTCTCACAACTAGGTTTTGAGTTCAGAGGAAAATGGAAATTAGTTGCAGTCATGGGCCGTACAGCAGGGAATGAGGAAAATACTTAGAGGAAGCATTCACAAGATAATCCCAATCTTCTTCCTATACAACAAGCCAGCGCAGCTCGAGCTGTCAGCGTGCCGCTGGAACGTCGTACGTGTGATGCTCGTTACCGAGCTCTGCTAACCCAGGAGCAGAAGCTGACAGAACAGCATGCTGTTGGCGTTCATCACCGAAATCCTGTAACCATTGGCACGGTAAGGTCAAGGAATGTTAAGAGCAGTTTACAACTGAGGGCAGAAGATGGCTTTTTTAATTCTAAGATCCCGTATCAACCTGAAAACTTCCAGTGTTAACAAGATAGCAGAGCCAGCTCTCAGTAAAAGAATATCAACAGGAAATTTTACCAGTCTCTGTAGAACTCCAAGTATATTTAGGTATCCAGGTGCACCGTATAAACTGAAATACACGGAGCACTTAGAATCTCATACCCAAGGAAATACTTTTTATGGTCCCTCTACTGACTTAAATCCAATCATCGTATATTTTAAAACTTCACAAATCAAAGCTGCTAGAGTTAAAGCAGATGAGCTTGCGTACAAGTCTGAGCTGTTAAATGTAACTAAATCTTCTATATCTGACAGCTAAGTTGAATTTACCTGCTATATCTTCAGAGTGGCATATCTTGTATAAATATCCTATTTAGAAATTATTTTCCACTCGGAAGTCTTTTTCCCCCATAGTTCTTGGAAAGACTGGGATATCACACGGTGGTGGTAGTAGCTTCCGTTCCTGCAACTGAAGTAGCAGTAGAGCTGCAAGGGAGAAGTTACGAGGTATTTTGCAGAGTTCAGGTTTAGAAACATTAAGCTATTTCAACAATGTGAAGCCATGGCGCCCTTTTAAGAACCTGGTTTGCGAATGGTAGGTGCCCCGGACTTGGGGACAGAGAGAGGCAGCAAATACGGTGATTCAACGCCAGGGTTTTAGTTCAGCTCCTGAGCCAGCCAGACCCTTGCTTCGCGCTAGGCTGTCCTGTCGCCTTTCTCTAACTTGCAAAACTGATCAATGACTCATTTCACTTTTGGACATTCCTCAAAGCATTCCCACGTTTGGATGGGTATGTTCTCCACCGGTGTTTCTGTCCTCTGTACAGATTTTGGATTGTTTCCCAGGAAAACTAAGGTTGGGAACATGAAAGCAGAATATTACTAATAATGCCCAATAATTTGCACCCTCATTATTTAACCTTTCGCCAATGAGCTAGAGAATTTAATATGCACTTAAGACGACAAAACAGAGATCGCAAGAGGCTTTTGCATTTATATATACAGAAAGATATCAGTCAAGTCAGCAATGTTGAAGGACCATAAAGGATTCTTTTCCCGTAACATACTAGAACTTGGATGTGGTTGACATTCTCCTGGGATTCACATTTACGCCAGGGCATAAGTGCTCAGGGATGATCTCCAAATGTACAAGAACAAGTGCTTTAAATTAAACGCAGTAAAACAGTGTGCACTATTATTACTCATATCCCTAAATTAATCTTTAAAGAAAGCCATAGTCAAAACAACATTCCAACTGTATCAGTGTGAAAACATGATAGTGCTCAGTCTCTCACAGCTAGTATTATATTACCAAATGTGAAATAAGAATCATCATCTATAGACTGGGTTTTTTTGCTAGAAAAAGTAAATTAATTCTTGAAACGTAATTAAATTTCTTCTCCCTTACCTTTTCCCCCATCCTTAAAAGCAGTACAGTCGTAGCTTGAGATCTAATCTGAGCTTTACTCCATGAATCGCAGTGGATTGTTGAAGGAAGTAAGAGTTCTCTAACATCAGATATCCAGCTTTGTGTTTGAGCAATGGTTACAATAAGCACTGTGGGTGAAAAGCTTTAGTAATGGCATTCTCAACAAGATCTGGCTTGCAAAATAATATAATTTTTGTAAATATATCATCTCTATGAAGATTTTAACAGTAATACATCAAGTCCTATAGATGACAGATGTTATGATCTTTAAGTCCTAATGCCCTGGGAGGAGTTTAAGTAAGCGTCAAGTAAAAATATAAATTAAATACAAAACTGGAACTGCTGAATTTCTGCCTAATCCCCTTTTTCTACTGCAAATGCATGGCTCTGTTTTGCTTTGTTCCATCTGCTACTTTCATTCAATATCCAAAGCAATATAATAGACTCTACCAAAAACTCACTTCAGTCTTCATAGTTATGGGATTCTTTAGCTCGGAAATATGCCGAAAGAAAACGAAACCAGACAAACAAAAAAGCCAGAGCTGAATAATGCTCCTGAAGTACTGCTGCAGCACCCTCTCCTGGTTAGCAACGCTGATAACAACCACCTTAGGAAATTTAACAGTACAATACCCAAGGCATTTACAACTTAGGCACTATTTTCCTAATTAAAAAAAAAAAAAAAATTCTTCTGTGAAAGCCAGGCCATAGAAAGCTAACATTAGGAAACGTAAGGGGAAAAAAAAAAGTTCATATTACAAAAAGTCTTCCCAAGTAGCTAACGAAGTTATTTCAATAGTAGTAGGCAAATTTTCAGTCACAAGTTTAAATAGAGCAGCCAATAATCCCACCTTGAAGAAGCAAGAGCAATAATTCAAATGTTTAATGAACTTCCAGATAGAAGGAAAATTTGTAAAAAGACAAAAATATGTAAACACTTCAACACATGAAAACATTTTTAAATTCAACACATTTTACAGAGATACAAAAATTTGCATCTGCCTACAGAATGGACAGTTGAGAAGTGGTAGGCACTTCTACACGATAAACTCAGTCCGGGTTCGATCAGTTCCAACAGCTCAACCTACATAATATACAAAATATATACAAAAGCAATCTAGACTGCACCAACGATATTAGATACCTCCTAAATTGAAAGAGCTCAGCCTCCTCACTAAAATTCTAACGCATTACAAACTCAGACAACGTCCCAGAACCCAGAGACAGATCGTGCTGGACAAAGACACTGAAGAGCAGAACAAACTTCCAGTACAGATGGAACCTGATGGCTTTGAGTCTGTCGCACCGCAGTCTGCGGTCAGGCACAGGGATCTCTAGTCTTCACAACACAAGTTTCTGACTTTGGCCACCTGGTTAATTATTGCAGGTTATCTGGGTAATCAGAAGCAGGACTATAGTTTCTGTGTTTTGAGAGAGGTTCCAGGAAGCTGATAAAAATCAAACGTGATGTGATAGGTTACAACGCTACGAAGTACTGAAGTAATGATAGTGGAAGCAAATTCCAGTCATGTTAATTTAGAAAATACTCATCATTGTTTTATACGAGAGCTCTGTAAATCAACCCAGAACAAAATTAACATGCTATGTCAGAAGAATATCTGTACTAGGAAAGACTATAGATATAAGGAGGCCAATACCACCGGTGGCTGAAAGAAGATAAAAGGCAGACTGGATTTCTAAAAGACATAAGAAATTCTTCCTTCTCCTCTTTAGAGACCTCTGCTTTTATAACAGCTTGTGGCCTACACCAAGCATCCTGGATATCAACCAATTATTAGACAAGATTACTGAAGAGCGGAGTAGCTAACAGCACTCCCATTGGTGGGAGGCAGCTTGAATTCTTACAAGACTAAAATCAAGGAATATCCAGTCTGACTTCTTCAGTCCTGCATGCGGATCTAGTGAATCATCTGGGATCCTGGAGCAAGTTTTGATGAATCAAGCTGACTATTCTCCGCAGATAGTGGTAGCCAATTGGCACACTGGACAGAACAGCAGATATTTCCTCCTCCCTGGGAAAGATAAAATTATCACGCATGTTTGAGAGGATACGGAACATTAAATTTCAAAGCTGGGGATGGGGAATTAAAGTCATATGGAGTGGTTCTTTCTGTTCAACTCACCCAATATTCCCAATTTGTTTTTGGACAGTAAAAGGCAGCGAAGCAGATGGGTAGTTGGCAGATAGAGCCAGGGTCAACTCAAACTTTGCAAAAGCTGTGGAAGCGGAGAACAAAAGCTTCACTCTGTATGCGAAATAAACACAAACAAGAAGATCAATACAAAATACTCAAATGTACCGCTACCGCCTTTGAACTAGGTTCCAGAAGTGAAAACACGTGATGTAATTGATGCAACAAGCTCAATAACTTCTAAAGAGTTCCAGCACAGACTAACAGTAACTTCATAAATACGGTTAAAAGAACCTTTCCACTCTAATACCATCAGCGTTCTAACACTGAGTTAGAAAACAAAACCCCAGCTTTCCTCATAGAAAAAGTTAATACACACATAATTCGCAGAACCTTTCAAAAATTATGGGAGTATATAACGTAGTAATCAAAAATAAGTTTTCTAGTTAACAGAAAATATTCCTAGGTAGCTAAAGTCTTCTGAAGTTTTAAGTAGGACTGATTTACCTCCAATTCCATAATTCCAAGATTGTTTCATGAATCCAACCCTATTTAAATCAGGCCAAATTTCTGTCTAGCACAGTACTCTTGTCTGTGAAAATGTGCAGGAAGGACAGAGTTGAATTTTCTTGTAAATATGGGTAAGACCATCACCAAGGACACAATGCCCAGGAGACAGATGCTTTGGGATAGCATGAACTAGAACAGGCATAGTACAGGTCTTTTCCAGGTAAGTCTCCCACAGTTTGCAACTTCTGAGCACAGGCTGCCCTCGCATTTGTTTGCTGACTGAACTAAATATAGCTTTTATAGGATTTTTGGTATGTGGTAGAACACCACTCTTGCAAAGGGTACTACAAAATTAGAATAACCTATGGGAGCAGCATCAAGACATGCAGAGCAAGGTGAAGTGGGCACTTCTTAGTTAAGGATATACATCAATAATAGAAGGAGAAGGTGAAGTAGTATTCGTCTTGTTCCACTGGGACATGCCACAAAATCGGGAAGTAGTATGAGAGAACGAAAACTAAAGAAAAGAAACTTTACTTTAAGTGCATTTGTCCTTCAACGACTGATTCTGCTTGGCTGAAGCAAATAGAAGATTAAAAGAAATAAAGCACTAAGCTACAGGTAAACTCTTGGCCGTTTCCTTTGCGTTGCCACACTCTGGCCTAAGGTTTTAAGTGAGAGAGTCAAGTCAGACAGGGAAGCAGCAAGGAAGGAGAGGTTATGTGATAGTAAGGAAGTGGCTGAATCCAAGAACAGCTTAATTTCCATGCATTTGAATATTATAGTGCAATTGTATTAAAATAAATTAGATTGCTGTTAAAAATAGTGGCATAAAATCTCAGTTCCAAGAAAACCAAACTGAAAGTATTTCAGCGTTTTGTTCCTGATTATCTAGAGACGCTCTCTGAAGGACTGGGGTAAACTCCATCTGAAGTTACTCACTTTGTGTCATTGATGTCTGTCTTCAGAAGATTAAATTTTCCACCCCATCTCTCCAGAAATTCAATCTCCTCTCCTAAGATCTTGCAACGACTCACCACCAAAGAGATGTCATGAAGAACCTAAGTGGGCAATCAGAAAAGCAATCACATTAGCACTCAGGCTGGCAAACTACGTGATACTTGAAAACACAGTTTATCCTAGAGAGTGTTAAAAAAAAAAAAAAAAAAAAGTAGTTTAACTGCTGTCTCAGTTTGGATGCGAAGATGAAATTGTACAAGCATAACAACAAATAGACATTCTTTGCCCTAAGTTTCTCCCTTCAGCTTTGTCAACAGGGGTACACAGACATGCAGGAACACCAAGTTTGGCTTGGCAATTGAAACCATTAATTCGTTAGGGAGCAGAATGGCATTCAGCTCAATTCTTTAATTTCTACTAGCAGGAAAAAAAAAAAAAAAAAAGGATTTTAAGAAATCACTAAGACAGGCAGCCAGTAATGCAGCAAACAAGGAAGAAACCACAGCTTTTAGGACTCTTGCCTTCAGGGACAGGTACTTCCCCTCGCACCTCAGAATATAAACGAAGCAGATTTGGATTTGCATGGATGAAGCATTCGTTAAGATGCTTTTGTTCTCAGGATCAGCCCTGTTCTCTGTGACATAAAAGGTTTAATGTTTTTTCCCCCCGAGTCTTATAGGCTTTCCTGGAGCATTACCTGGGGCAAGTAGCACAGTGTGGGACACTTTTCCTGCCAGCATCCCTGACTTTCAATAAACTGGAAGATGAGTCTTTGGACTAAACGTGAGGAGGGTGGAGCTTTTTCCTCTGTAACACAAAAGAAAAACACATTGCCAGAAATCTTTTAAAAGCCATATAGTAACGCATTAGCAAATAAACCACAGATTTACAGATGTCTTCGCAAGAACAGATTATTAGGACTGCTACTTTCAAGCTACTTGAAAAATCTTACCATCCAAGAGAGATTCAAAGTTCAGGCTAACTATCTTTCTGGAAGGATCTTCACCAGAAACATCACCATCTGAGAAGGAAAGGAAAAAACCCAAACACTAGTTATTTCCGTACTTAGTTCTGGAGTTGCAGCTCTTCCTCTTCAGAAACAGCCATTCATTACGTACTTTTCTGAATTTTCACAGAAAGCACTGGTAAACATATTCAAAGCCACCTCTCTCAGCTTACACGCTCCTGCTGTAGTATGTTTTCTATTTCCTTTCAGCAGATCTTCACAAATACAGAAACTTTAGGTTTCTATTATGTAACTATTTAACCTTTCACATTCATAAAACCGAAACCTACCGATTTTGCGACTTACCTATTGGGGGTCCGAACACAACTGTGAGTTCAATAGAATCATAAAGAAAATTAAAGACTGCCTGCTGTTCACTCCATTCAGTAATCTCCCACTCGGTGAAGCTAAAAAGGGGGGGAAAAAAACCACCATCACCCCAAGTTTCAACCAGCCAACTAAAATAATCATCTGAAGGACAAAGATCAGAGTCTTAAGTGCACTCGCAGCTCTTACCACATAATATGCTGATGACATTTTCACTTCCCAACAGAATGTAAGAATCTGTTGGGAATATAAGCATACTACTATTCATTTTACGTAAGTGTTCATTTTGGAATGGGAGGAGTGTTGGACATAGAAAGACTGAAGGTAGAGGACCCCTGCAAAGCTGTTAACAGAAAAACAGTGCATCACCCATGGAAGTTCACCGAGGCTTTATTGCTTATCCTAGGCTGTGAGGAGATGGGCATCCAAAGATTTCCCAAATCAAAGAACAAGGAAGACAAACCCCAAAACATTTATATGCGAATGTGAGGCCCCAGAACTAGCTGATAAATGACACCTGAAGGTCTTTTCCTTACTCGTATCTCTCCAGGAGTTCCTGGCAGCTTTTTTCTTTTTCCTGTAGCTGGTTCATCTGAGCAAGCATTTGCTCATTCTCAGTCTCCAGATCTGACAGTTCTCTGCGAAGATAAACCAACCACATGAGATGTAGCACACTGGTTAAAAAACCACCAACGCTCTAAAACCTGAAGGTGCACATGTTATTTAAGGTCTTTAGATCCTCTTTGACATCTTACCTTTGAAGTTCCTCTTCTTGGGCTTTGAGGCTTTCCAATTCTAAGAGAAAGGGAAAAAAGCTGTGAGAGAAAAGAGCAGCAAAGAAAGCCCTAACTTGCTCTGCAGTCACTGTTCTTAACAATATGAAAGATCTCAACTTGATGGCTGTTACTTCTACCCAGATACAGATATGCGGTCAACAAAGGGTAGTAATTATTGAACAATTAAAGTGCTGAATATGATAGCCAGCACACACTCTTCAAGTCACACTGTTCCATATTAGAATTAATATATCAGGGTGGGGGCTGAGTATCACCCTCTCCAGAACTTAAAAAAACAAAGCAAAAAGTGCCATTCAGCTGGTACCATTACCTTTCTTTAGGCTTTTCCCTTCTGCCATTTCATCACCGCAGTCTGCTTCCCAGTCTTCCCAGTCAGAATCTATGGGAAAGAAGTATCAGGTCACTGCAGAACTCCCAGATTCAATACTTGGATTCCATTTTATTTGTCTGTGGGTTCTATAAATCTTAGTATTTCAAAGGTAACTAAGAAAAATGTACAAAAAGCCAGAAGGGTATCTACCAAACCCTCAAAAAGTAACAGATAACAAGGGAAACTCCTTTTATTGAATTGTTTCAAAGCTGCTACTGTGCAATTTGATTTCTACTTAAGGCATTGGAAGAGAATTCAATTGGAAGAAAAGAAGTGAAAATAGAGAGAGCATCGTTATGCAGCAATGCCAAGTACTGACTGCAGCTTGTGTGAACGCAGCTGAACAAGTTTTAAACCAGCCAGCTACGATGCTGAAAACAGTACAGCCCTGGAGTGCGAAGCTTAGTCTTGCCTGCCTGCAGGATCGCTGGCAGGTTCTGCAGCCATTCTGAACTGCATGCTGCCAGCAGCTGTATTGTTATCGCTAGCAGATTTAGCCAGCTTGGTTGCATGTTTGTAGGCTACGGTTATAATTCTGTATTTCAGGGCAGATATACTCCTAGTCTTCACGTGATGTGCAATTCCCACAAGACAAGTTTGCAGACAGAAATGAAGGCATTTAGGCCTAACAAATACTTGTAGCAAAGGAATTGTACAATTCCAAGCAACCACCAAACACAGAATCTTGAACCGACCATTTAAACTGCAGCTCTGCAGAGAAATAGAGAAATCAGCATATCGGTCACTGGTTTGGAAACACATACCTGCTTCCAGAGCAACAAGACAGCTCTCTGCCTCCTCCAGCAATTCATCCACCTTTTCTATTCTTGACTGTAGCTTTTCATGTTGTTCCTAAGATGGGAAAATTGTACTCAAGTCAATGACATTTTTTAAAAAGCTGAATTGTCTTCTGGGACCACCACGTGGATCTTTGCTTGCTAAGAAACTAATTAAAGAAGCTGATATAATCTGTCATTAGAAGGAAGAGGCAGACTGACAAACATTAAGGCAGTAGCCATGCATAAGAAAGTACTAGATACTTAACAATGTGTCTTCCTTATGACTTTTCTTATGAAGGCATGAGATAAGACATGGAAATAAATAAATTCCTAGAGCTTTTAACACATACAGATTCCTGATACCTATCACAACGCCATTACTTCTGCATTTCCTTGTAGGTTACTAACACTGACGTTACCACAGCATGAAGAGCTAATGTCTGATGGCGTTTCCTTTAATACTCCCATTTTTCACTCTGTTACTTTAATTGCCAAAACCCTTAGGCAGAAGGTTCCTGTAGCGTAAGTGCAAGAAAGTCACTGTCCCAATGCGTTTTGCATTTGCGTATAAATAAAAGGGAAGCACGTTTGATAAGAAGGAAACTTTCAAGGGAATGCACACTACATACAACAATTAGGCTTCTAAACTTGACAATCAAAGATGGACGAAATAAGGTAGAAGTTCCTTTTTTTAAAGCTAAACCTCTGCAGCCTTGTGGCACGTTACCTGCGCGCTCTGCAGCAATTTGCTGTACAATGTCGCTTTCTCATTGTGAGCCAAGATTTTACTCTCCTTGGTGAAATAGGATTTCATTTTGTTCAGTTCTGCTCCAAAGCTCTTCAGCTGCGACAAATGGAAAACGCAGAAGAGAAAGTGAATGGGCATGTGCAACAAAAGATTGTTCAATCGACCCTTTAGACTCTTGCTCCCTTCTCTGCTCCTCCCAATATCCCATTTCTCTAGTAGCAGTATTACATGACACTTGCAAATTAAATCAAATTTAAGACTGGACAATCCCTGTTAATTCAAGTACAGTTGCCTACTACAGTAACTGCTTTTCTTTGCAAAGATCCAACAAGATCTACTCAAATAGGGAGCCGCACAAATAACTAAAGAGATGCTTTTACCAAAAACCAGAGCACCTTCATCAAGTACATCAGATGTCTCTCACCCCAGTTGTTTGAGACGTGTATTTAGAACACTTGCCCCATTACAGTTAAGGAGGCTAACTGAAATGCTCACGAAGTCCAGGCAGAACCCAAACCACAAGAAGTAAACTTAAAACCTGTTTTAAGAGAACGCGGCTACAGATCATGCAGTTCAATGTTTTCTCTGACAGCTGTCAGTCCAGAAGCTGCAGAGGAACGTACAAAAAGCTTTTTTCTACAACATTTGCCATCTGCCTGTTTCCACTAGGTGGTATCATCCTAAACGCAGTATGTGGAGATTTGCTTAATAAGCTTTCAGATTTGTTATTCTTAGCTAAGGGTTCTAGGTGCTTTCATTGTTCGTAAGCGTAATTCTTCCTGAATGTAGTTAATAACCTAGCCTCAGTGATACCCTATATCAATCTAATTATGAACTATGAAAAATACTGTCTTTTATCAATTTTGACTCTATTTTCATTGAATAGATCTTTATTCTTGGCATTAGAACCACAGAAAACAGAATCTTTTGATCTACCGTCTCAGTTCTGGCTGGGATACTTTTATAATACTTCTGGGTTTTAAATGCAGGTGTCTTTGGCGTGCTTTTTTGTGCCCGTTATCATTAGCATTCTCCTTAAATACCCTCTGGCCTCATCTTCTGTTTTGGCATATGACACCATTGTTGCACTCCAAATACTGTATGCAGTTTTATTTTTGTGTAATGACGCATATTTTCTGTTTATTCTATGTCTTCCTACATCCCATGTCTTTCTGAACTAAATAAGCGTTTAAGTTAATGGACGATTGTGCTCCACCAGTGAAGCAACAGAGTCTCTACAGTAAGAGCAGTTCATTTTTTCCTTCCAAAATTGCACTGGTTGCTTAGCCCCATCTAAAGTTTCTCTTCTTTTTTCTGCCTTCAACTAAGCTGCATTATCAACTTGAATTATCAAGTTTTTCTGGTTTATAGCAACATATTCCCTTTAGCATATTTTAAAGGGCACATATCCTTGCATTCTTCTGACATACTGGAAGTTCTCATAGCAGTTTTCCATTCAGAAAAGATCTTGCCTTGTATCACCTACCTGCCTGTTGTTATTCTGTGACCGTTCTGGTTCTTACTTTATTTGAACACATAAATGAACCTTACTTCTTCATTACATAAGAAACAACATTATCGCTTCATGCAGTCTTACCTCTTCATCAGAGCAGGTTCTCATTACTTCCCACAAACTCTTATTCACATTCACCAGGAGCTGATCCTGGACATCTGCATACACTTTTAACCTGAAATGTGGAAAAAAAAAAAAAAAAAGTTGAAAGTCTTGGTGCAACTGCACCGAGCACATAAAGCAGCACACTGGTATTTATACAATTCATTCCCCTTTTCTAATTAAAACATGGAAATGTAAATATTTTCATTTAGTTGGGTCTTACATCTTGGAGAGACCCTCTAAAGCCTTGATTAAATGGCCGCCGTGTTTGTTAAACTCTAGCACGTAATACCGAGTTCATTTCCTACGGTCTTGAGGGCAGCTCTGAGCAGGAGGTGGAGAGATAAAGAGCCAAAGAAATAGGAAGTGATGCTAGTGAGGCTGTGAAAAATCTTACTACTGATTTTGAGTTTTATCATAAAACTTGATTTTGCACATAAATTGGAAAAGGCGTAATGAATCAGATCAGAAGTGTCCTTCAGATAATAAAATAAATTGTGACAACTGTATTTCAATCTAATAAACACTGGAAGATTGGAATAAACAACAGAGCGTAACCTGTTACGATTCTGCTTTCCATGTTTGATCATTTTTGATACAATTTAAAAAGTTTACTCTAACTCTTCTGATATGCAACTGAAACACACTATCAGTAAAAGATAAATTACCTGAGGAAAATCAAACTTAAATTATCTCCATAACCACAACTCCTCCCCAACAGTTAGCCCTACGCCGTGTAAATCTGTAATAAACTGGCTACCGGCACAAAGTAGGTTAACTATAATTTTATATTTTATTTATATAACGTGATAACTTTCTTCAGGCCACTTTGCGTGCAACCAGAGCTGAAAAAGTAGAATTACTAATATACTCTGTGACTGGAAAAACACTTACTCATCTATCATCTGAGAAAGGGCCTCGCAATCTTCTTCATAAATACGCAGCTTGGGGCGATAAACATATTGGCTGTAAATGAGGTCTTCTGGAGTAGGTGGTTCACTGACCGCACACTGGGGAAAAACAGAGGGGAAAATTGTGAAGAAAAAGAAAAAAAGATGTGTATTTTTCAGAAACAGTAACTTCCAATCAATTCATGTACAGAAACCAGCCAAAGGCCTGGAATCTTTATTTTTGCAGAACAGAAAAAAATCCAGACCCTAATGGAGGCAGCCTGACAAACGAGTGTTTTCATTCTGGACTTGTCCTGGTTCATTCTGAGACAAGTTAGTCATATAACCTTTGATAGCTCATTCCGCTTTTATGCCCCATGTTTCCTCACGCTTGAGCATGGACTTCCTTTTGGGACATATGCCTCATCACTAGAGCTCAAAAAAAAAAAAATTGAAAGAGGTTAACTTTCTTTTAGATGAAGACTTGAAAAACACTCGTACGTTATCCAGGTAACAGGAGTGCTCTGGAATAAGACAGGATGGCTCTGCTTGGTTCAGGATCAAAGCTCCCAATTTTCAACAAGTCTTAGGCACATCAGATAAATATGATGGGGTATTTCAGCAAGCTACCTATATAATGAAACACATAAATAATTGACATTAATTCCGTCCCGTCAAAGAAAGCTTTCAGGGGCTTTTGCGGGGTGGGGGTGGTGTTTGTTTTTTTATCAGAGGTCAGTCGCTAATGAATGGTATCGGAGTTTTGTAAGCTTGATGAATATTTAGAGAAGCTCAGTATGAATAAATTTGCAAACTGCAAGTGTAAACTAAACTGTAACTAAGATAGTCCAGCATTTTAAATAAAAATGGAAGAGATTTAAAAGTCATAAAGGAAGCAATTTAATCAATACAAATTATACTAATTTAGCTGCAATTCTTTTTAATCATTTTCATTCTTTTATCATAACAGTTTTAAAGAACTTGAAAAGAGACAGGCTTTTTACTCATTCTTGCTAAGCTGACACAGAAATTTGATTCAGTCAGCAATGAGGCAATGAAGAACAGCAGACCACCGCCACACCACGTGTGCCCCACAAACATATCAAACCGCCTGTGCGCAGTGGCTTTCTGCAAACTAACAACTCGAGGGCCACAGTTGCAGTCCTTATTTCCAAGAAGATATCTAAATTTCCAATGTGAATATTCTACTGACATATTTGCCCTGATGACGTGCCATCTGACAGCAGGAAGACTTGGTTACGCAGGAGCCAGTTTTCAACTAATCTGAAGTACTAGAATGAATTTCACAAGTAAAGAATTTTCACAAATATACCACTTCCCATGGGAAGAATGTGATCTTGACCGCACCTTTTCATACACAGTAACAACTTCACCCTTACACGTATTATCATACGGACATATTAACAGTTCCTACCAAAACAGGTCTCCCGCTATCCATTTGAAAGAAGGATGATCAAATCTCATGAGAAGTTGTTTAACATTGAACATACTGCTGGAAGGTTCTCCAGCACTCTAGGATAAGTACTGGCATAGAAGAAACTCCAAACGAGTGTCAAAATTATGCAGACACTGCTAAGGTTTTCCAGGATGGCTTTCCCATTGCCCCAGTGCATCGTTCACTGTGCCAGTAGAAACTGTAGTAAGCAGCAGGAAACGGAAGTATTTGCACTAAATCCCCATATACTTTATTAAATAAATGCAATCTTACAAACAAACTTTCTCTGTTTATGAAACTTGAAACTTTTTCCTGTCAGTATGATACCTACGTACAGAAAACTAAGCAGCTCATTCACACTACGTCATTCCATAAATACCATTCCTTACAAAGATCGTTTGTGAAGTCCAGACGGATAACAGAGACCAGCCCCAACAACCAGGCAGAAATTCAGTTGCCTACACAAATGTGTACAAATAACCAAGTCCACAACACTAGTCATAAGAAAGCTTATAGGAATATAAGGTGCCTTTACTGAAAACAAATTACAAGGCCCTGTTTTCAGGATGATTACAAAGTAAGATTGCTGCCTTGTTCAGCATGAAGTTACTGCCAACGAGTGGTCCTTGTCTGCATGCGAAAACAAAACCAAAGAGTTGTTCCCATGTCTGCAAGAATTCAACAGAAACCTTTCAGGATGAGGATACTGAAACTGGGTTCAGGCAGAACAGACTTAAGGGGAAGAAATAAAGAATAAATGAAAAATAAAAATAAGTAAAAAAATACAATGTCATGGTGAAGCACTCATGAAGAAGAGAGTAGAACAGGTAGTAGGAGTGCAGAGCAGCATGTCAGGATTCTGATTTCAGTGGCTGATGGACATAGTAAGGAGATAAGGTGAAAAGGTTAGACTGATCCTTAAAACAAATTGAAAAAGCAAGAATTAGCATATTTATCCAAGAACAGATAATCCTGAACATATGGTATTTCGCGAAGAGACTGAAATCTATTCTGTTTTTCAGTACTGAGGAAAAAAAAAGCATCAGACGTTATCAGAGGTGAACAAGCAAAGAGCCCAGAGGAAGAATGCAGTGTCTAACACACTTGCCAAGGTGGAACTGACTTCTGGCTTAACTCGTTTAAAGGCCTTTAATGCAGACTGGTTAGTTGATAAAAAAAAAAAAAAGAAAAGACAAAGGAATATAATTTAAGGTCAATTATATTATGCATATCAAAGGACAGATACTCACGTTGGCTGGAAGATGGCTATGCCGGGGCTTCTGAATCGGAACATGGACTTGAAGCAGCGTAAAAAACTCCCCAACTGTGATAAGACCATTCTGAAATTTCTGTAAGGATTAGGAAAAACGTATAGGTAAGTACATTTTTCAAGCAAGAACACTTACTTGCATATATGCACGCAAGTATTTTTCCTGTTAGGACAAGAAGTTAGCATCTTTCGGCTATTTACATACCTCCCGTAAGTTATCTTCACAAATGCTGTCTGTGAGAAGCTGAGACTCCATCTGACTGCTTCGCTGAACTGGCCAAAAAAAGAGAGGGGGATATTGCTAGGGTTAATAATATTGTTATGGAAATATGACCCTAAGCTCGTTAACACTATAAAAAAAGCCATTTTAATGTGGAGTTTGACCTTTATGTGTGTTTCCAGTGCTGAATGAAGCAACTGAGGAAACAACTACTTGGGACAAATAAGGAGGGCTAGATTAAGCATCTAATGTAAAACAAAATCTGTGTCAGAGTGGTAATGAACTGACAGAGTTCACTCTTCTATGGGAGGAAAGCCGTATTGAACATCCTAAAAAGTAACAAAACTGAGCAGGAGGCTCCAACCAGCGCACCGAGGGCATCCTACGCAGACAGAGACCAAAGAGCACCTGAGCTGCCAGCCGCTTTCAAGGTAAAAACGTGGCATTCAAGTTCTGAGCCAACAAGGGCTAGTTTCTCACTCAAAGGGAAGAACCCAGCTTCTACTGGATAAAGCATAGGCTTTCATGGTTGCAGGAGGCCAAAACTGGAATTGGTTTTGTAAATAGAGGCAAGATATCACTTATCAGACGACTGGCAGATTTCTGCCTCATTGTTAGGTATCAGCTAATTAGCAAGAGCTAATTAAACCTGGGGGCTGAATCTGCTTAGAGCCTGTGCCTGCAACGCACTCCGAGGAGCCTCTGTCCAAGAGCGCAGCACTGAGACACGCAGACTCGTTCTGCATGGAACCAGCTTAAAATCATCTTTGGGCCAGCAGAGTTTGAGCTGGGGCTTTGCTCTGTGCTAGGGTAACTAAACTGCCTCATCAGCCCACCTTGCCCTTGAAAACAAAGCCATACTTAAATTCTGCTCCTTTTTCTTCCCATCTCAGCTTCCCTTGAACAGCTTGGACTCTTAGCCAGAAGGTAAAAGCTTGTTGAGCGGCTGGGTGGCAAGCTGTGACACAGGCATTCAAGGCCTTTCCCAAATGGAATACATACTACGGGTGGGGCTCTTCCTTGATTAAGCAGAAAGAACGCAAGGTTTGAAGCCATTACCGCAAAGGAAGCCTTACTTGTTAATTCTGTGTCAGCCTTAACAGACTCCAGAGAGCTGCTGGTGCTGGCATGAGTACAATCAGGGCTTTTACCCGAGATATTTGGAGGATCTTCACCTTCATGAACTTCCACGTGGCTTTGAGACACAGCGCCAAAAGTAACCTGAAATTAGCAAGTTTAAAAAAAAAGGTTAAAAGAGTTATATGAAATGATACAAGAATAAGTCGATCAGTAGTTTATTGTAGCTGTCTCTTGACATTCAGAATAGTTTCATTTTAAGCATCAGCACATTTTATATCTAATCAGCATGACAAACCAGCGTATGGCTAGTTAAGCCGTTTCCTACAATGACACGTGGGAAGCAAAGCTGCAAAGTCCTTCATTCATTTCTCAATCAAAGCAGCAGCCACCACAGCACACCCTTCCAGCTCTTGGAACGACAAAGTTTCTACTGATGATGTACAAACTTATTTTTAAGGTCAGATTAATGTTCAATATTTGCACAGATTTTCTTGATTCAGCTGCAATTTGTGCTGTCTATAAAAAAGCTAATCTAAACTAAACATCCGTGTTTGGATTTTAAATAATTACTTTAGGCCTTACTCTATCATTGTACCTAAGCAACAACTAGCAAATAGTCGAGTTCAGAGGACTAAGAATATTCAGTCAGGAAAGCATTAAAAGGATACTATGGAGAAAATTATTTAAAAATTGACATATCCCTTATTCTGTCTGTTTTGCATGGCTTGGGAAAGTTGCACACATCAACCTGATTCTTCCGTTTTGGCAAAACAACGAAAAATACAGGGGACGACACAGCAAAATGACAGCAAACTGGTGGTTAAGAGAGACGAGAAAACCTACCAACAGGTCTGCTTGCACCCCAAAATTTAAACAAAAGTCCTGTTACTGTTCAGTGTATCCTTATGAGTGATTAGGCTCACCTGCAAGTCTTGGGAGGCCTCACCGTCCAAGTTTTCATCCCTCTTGAGCTTCTTTGGACTTTGAAGATCCTCCTCGTGTGGTTCCAAAGCTCTTTTTGTGTTGTTGCAAGTTTTTGTCTCTTCAAATTGATTCTTTTCATTGTGGGAGGTTTGTTTTTTGCTTATCTCATTGCAAGCATTTTCCATCAGTTCAGAGCTTACAGATTCATTTGAATCCATTTCTTCCAGGCAGACAGGAAGAAATTCTTCTGCTATAAACTGAGAAGGGCTGAAGTTCTGCCTGCTGGGCTTACTGTTACCTGGGGTTTCACCAGCATTTACACTTACTTCTGAAACTGGTGCTTCTCCTTTGTCTGAAGACTTTGCATTTATGTCTTGCACACTAGAAACAGAAGGATTTCTTCTGTTTGGTAATTTAGGCTGGAAGATACCTAGAGGGACATTTATTCCTTGATATTTATCCTTAAGTGCCATGCCTAAATTTGCATCTATGGGAGCAGCTCCAGATTCAAGACGTGTGTTCTCCTGCTCTTTGGTATAAAATAAATTATTTGGTTCATTCACAGTATTTTTTCCTAACCTCAGGGTATCCTCTGGCTGAGTTGATGATTTGGGCGACTGGTCAGAAAAAGCCGTTTCAGAAAGGGCAAGAACTGCAGATTTCCTTCTAATATTTTTCAGTTTTGAACAAACATTTAAAATACCTGATAATTCAGGTGCAAGACTGGGATCTATCTGGTCTCTTGCACTGTCACTGACCAAGAGTTGCTTAGTTTGCTCAGAGTTTATTTGAAGGTCTGTTGGAGGTGTCTCCCCTTCAGCTGACAGCCCCTCATTTTCCTTCGATTCCTTGTTAGAAACTGGAACAAGGCTTGCTCCAGCCAAGCCTAAATCTGCAGCTAAATCTTCATGTCTAGATGCATCATCTTTCAGGAGTTGGTTTCTCCGAGTACTACGTGCATCTGGAGAACCCGTCGAAGAATCTGGTTGCTGGATGGGAAGTGAAACATGGGGTACCAAATCGCCGCTTTCTTCACTGCAATCCATCGGCCCACTATTTGGAAGCTTGAAAGATGCTCTCTTTGATTTCAGTTTTTCTGGCTGTACGAGATCCTGCTGACTGTTTACAGGGGCAGAATTACCTATGGGAAGGTCAAGATCCTGTGGTGCCCGCACATCCATAGTGTCTTCTGGAAGCGAGACAGAATAAACGGAATCTGGTGGTGTGCCACTGTGGACTTTGATAGCTCCTTTCTCACTCAGAAATGCTGAGGCTGATGAAGCAGAAGAGGGAATGCGGGGCTTGTCCTTAGATTTTGTACGATATTCACCATCTGGGTCTTTTGTATGCAGGGAATCTGTTTCATCTCTGCAAGAAGACAACAACGCACTATGCAAGTCTGGTTGCTGACTGCTTTTATGTGACACTTCTTGGTTCTCAAATCCGTTAATATTGTTATTAACAGCAATAGTATGAGATGCAGTTATTTCCATATCATCTTGGTTGTGGGTAAACACAATGGTTTTA